CCAATCCATACACACATCAATTGTGTAAAGCGCATTTGTACATCGTTTCTCAAAACATTTTCTCTCCATTTAAACCCCCGACATTGGGTCCTAATTTTTCCCAAAGAAAGGTGACCCAACAGGATGCTCAAAGTATAGAACAATATCATTATCACATGCAATTAAAATTTTGCTGAAGATACTCCAACAATGGCTGCAGCAGTCCATGGACAGGGAGCTGCAGAGGTTCAGGCCGAATTCAGAAGAGGGTGTGGAACAAAGGATACCACTGGATCTTGGCTGAAAGCAGCACTAGAAAGATATTTGTTTGTGTTTTATTGACGGTGACAAGGCCTTGGACTCGGTGGTCCATAACAATGTGTGGCCGTAAGAAGAATGGGAATCCCATAACATTACATTGTGTTCATGCAGAATTTGTACATGGACCAGGAGGCATTTGTAGAAACAAAACAAGAGAACACCGCATGGTTTAAAGAGGTGCATGAGGGTTGTACCCTCTCATACTTATTCAATCTGTACGCTGCGCAAATCATCAGAGAAGGCATTCTATGAAAAAAATTGGCATCAGGATTAGAGGAAGGCTTAAAAAATGTACAATATACAGATGACACCTTGTTTGCTGAAAGTGAGGAGGACTTGAGGCATTTACCGATGAAGATCAAGGACTTCAACCTACAGTATGGATTACAACTCAATGTAAAGAAAAAAATCTTCACATATGGACCAGTAAGTAGCATCATAGTAAATGGAGAAAAGATTGATGTCAAGGGTTCTGTCTTGCTTGGATCCACAATCAGCGCTCATGGAAGTAGCAGTCAAGAGATTAAGCGATGCATTGCACTGGGTAAATCTGTTGTACAGACTTCTTTAAAGTGTTGAAAAGCAAGGATGTTACTTTGAGGACTAAGGTGGGCCCGACCCAAGCCACAGTATTTTCAATGCCTTCATGTGTATGTAAAAGATAGAAATGGAATAAGAAAGACCCAAGCAGCAGCAATGCCTTTGAATTACAGTGCTGGTGAAGACCATTGAACGTGTCGTGGACTCCCAAAACACCAAACATCCGTCTTGGACGAAGAACAGCCAGCGTGCTCCTTACAGGCAAGGACGCACAGACTTCCTCTCACATACTTTGGACAGGTCAGGAGAGACCAGTCTTTGGAGAAAGGCATCACGCTTGGTAAAGTAGCAGGGCAGCGAAAAAGAGGCAGGCCTTCGACAAGATGGGTGGACACAGTGGCTGCAGCAATGGGCTCAGACATCGAACAATTGTGAGGACGGCGCAGGACCGGGCAGTGTTTCCTTCTTGGGCAATCCTCCCCGCCCTAACAAGGGCTGAGATGGCCCTGGGTCAGAGGTTCAGAGGTGGAGTCACCTCCTGCCAGGTGCTTTGTGCAGGTCGCTTCACCCCCACCCCCAACGGGAAGACTGGGGTCTAATGGTTGTATCCGAAGTGAATTACAGTAGATGTGAGGTTGTGACTGACCAGTGCTGCCCCCTAGAGTTGTTCAGAGGCAGGTTGAGGGGTCTGGGATCTAGTACACCCTTCTGTCACCTCGGTGTCTTGTCAAGGCAGCATCTGCTCCATCACCACCAGTTTCATTTACAAAGTCGACCATGGGCTAGGCACATACTTGGGGTACCAGTGATCATTTTAGCATAGGCTGGATTCTCTGGGCACATCTTGGGGTGATTATCATTATGAGGGGGGTTAAGTCCGTTGGCCTGTGTCCTGAGGAAAATCGCTGCTCATCTTCCTTGCGTCTCTGTTGTCACCATCTTTGAAATGGGTGGAGGACCTGGGCTGCTCACTGCAAGGCTGGCAGTTCGAAGTGACCAGTTGCTCTGAGGGAGAAAGAGGAGACTTTCTACTCCCGGAAAGCGTGGCAGGCTCAGAAACCCACAGGGGCAGTTCTACCCTGTCCTATAGGGTCACTATCCGCTGGCATCAACTTGATAGCAGTGAGTTAGGTTTTGTGTTTTGAAATGGGTGTCCTCTCTGGGCAAAACGAAAGGGCACAAATAGTGGAGGTCCCCTTGCAGAGACAAGCCAGTCAGGGTGCGATGTAGCAACGAGGAAACACAACTTTCCTCTAGTTCCTAAATGCTTCATCCCCGCCCCCACTATCATGATACAAATTCTACCTTGCAAATCTGGCTAGACCAGAGGATGTACACTGAGACAGATAGGAACTGGAAACACAGGGAATCCAGAGCAGATGATCCCTACAGGACCAGTGGTGTGAGTGGCGATACTGGGAGGGTAGAGGGAGAGTGGGTTGGAAACGGGGAACCAATTACAAGGAACTATATGTGACCTCCTCCCTGGGGGACGGACAACAGAAAAGTTGGTGAAGGGAGACATTGGACAGGGCAAGATATGACAAAATAACAATTTATAAATTATCAAGGGCTCATGAGGGAGGGGGGAGAGGGGAGGGAGGGGAAAAATGAGGACCTAATGCGGGGGGCTTAAGTGAAGAGGAAATGTTTTGAGAACGATGAGGGCAATGAATGTACAAATGTGCTTTACACAATTGATGTATGTATGGATTGTGATGAGTTGTATGAGCCCCTAATAAAACAATAAAAAACAACAACAAATAAACAAATAGTGGAGGGGGTGCTGTCCGCTGCCACCAGGGGGCAGCACGGGCTGGCAAAACATGACTGACCTCAAGGCCCCAAGAGGAGGTCTGGTGGCCTAGTGAGTTATGCTGCGTCGGGCTAACCGCAAGGTCAACAGTTCAAAACCACCAGCGGCTGTGAGGGAGAAAGAGGCTTGCTAAGCCAGTAAAGAATTACAGCGTCAGAAACCCACAAGGGCTGTTCTCCTGCCTGACAGGGCCCCTAGCAGTCCAAATTGACTCTGTGGCAGTGGGTTTGAGTTTGCGGCAGACTCCAACCCCGCAGTGTTTCTGTGGCTGAAACGGGTGGTTTATGGAGATGGTGGGTTCAAGGCGGAGCTGCGTTTAAACGGAAAGGTCGGCAGTGGGAACACCACCGTCTCCTGGAGAGCCGTCTGCTTCTGTACCGATGGGAGCCTTGGGAACCCTAAGGCGCAGGTCTACGCGGTCCTCTCCGCTTGCTGGGAGCTGAGGTCACCTCCGCAGCAGCGGCTGGGCGCTTCATCATTCCTCCAGGGGAAACCTAAGAAAGGTTCACTGTCCCCTCACGTGTCCCCTGGGCCGGCCCAGCCCCACTCAGGCCTTTCCCTCTGCTTTGTGCACACGTGCGCGAGAGCGTACACACACACTCACTCCCCCGGAATAGTTTACTCATTAGAGCCACCGAACTTAAAGGGAGGAACGAACATTTTCCGTGGCCAGAGTCTAGTAGCACCGCCCCGGTAGGGTTTGCAAGGGTGTCATCGTCATGTCTTTTTAATGCACTGCCAGGGTTGCCCACAATATTATTCTAGTACCTACTGTGTTATAAAGGTGTCCAGTGGTGCTGGACCACTAACCACAATATTGTCGGCTCAAACCCATGAGCCACTCCAAGGGAGAAAAATGAAGGTCTCTGCTCCCACCAAGATTGACAGCCTTGGGAACCCTACAAAGGATCACTGGCTGGTGATGCACTGGTCGAACACTTGGCTGCTAGCTGCAAGGTGGCTGGTTCAAGCCCACCCATCAGCATCAAGGGAGAAAGGACCACAGAGCAGGAGATCCTGCGGCATAGCTCTGTTCTTAGGTGGTGTGGGGTCAGCAGGAATGCCAGAGCACACAGCATCTACCTGATTGCTGCTGTTGGCTGCTGACTTATGGCGACCCCATGGGTTACAATGTAGCACTGCTCCATAGAGCTTTCTTGACATGTTATGGCGGCAGTTTGCCAGGCCTTGCTTCTTGAAGCCGTGGGGAGTGGGGAGGTTTCAAACGGTCTTCAGGTTAGCAGCAGATAGCAAAATGCTTGTGACACACAGCCTCCGAGGTGAGGGTAGGGGTGGTAGAAGCCACTGCTCTGAGAGTTGCAAGGTGCAGCCCCGCCCCCACCACCTCAGAGCCTGGTGCCCTTAGTGAGGCCTGGCTGCCCAGGGCCTGAGGTTTCCAGATAGAAATGAGATCGGAAGGTTCCCCTGCCTGCTTCCCAGAGAGACCGGGTGGGAGACAGGCACATGTATGTGCGCATGTCTCACAGAGAGCCCACATATCCCCCAGCCTCTCCAACGAGGCTCTTCCACGTGAAGCTCTGGAGAACATAGGTTCTCAAACTTATTTGGCCCCACCCCCTGTCCAGGGGGAAAAAGAATTAAACCCTTTGGGACTGTTGCCCATCACCCAGGACCAAGTGCATCTGCCCTTAGATCTTTCCAAAGAGCCCCGGTGGGGTCGCGGGTTACGAATCGGGTTGCTGACTACAAGGTCAGCAGTTCAGGACCCTACTCCTAGAAAGAGATGCCGTCTGGGAAGCCCACAGAGGTGGTTCTAGCCTGTGCTGTCGGGGCGCTGTGAGTCGGACCGGACTCGATGGCAGTGAGCTTGGATGCACTGCTTTGGAAGACTGTGATCACACCACCTGCTCTCACTTCCCACGGTGTCCCCTCCTCCGAACACCCCCAGGCTGCCGTCTTGCCCTGTGGCCCGGGCTCCCCAAGGTTCTGGCATCGCTGGCTTCTCTGGGGAATGATGCCCACTGGGGCCAGGCTTTCATCCCTTTAGAACTCCACCTACCTGTCCTCTGGTTCCCAGGGATGGTTCGGGACAAGGCCAGTGAGACCATTGCTATCTTGCCCAAATGAAAGGAGGCACAGCTCAGAGCCCCCCGACTTGTGTTGGCCAGCATTTCCCCCCTGGTTCCCCTCCCCGATTCTAAAAACACTTTCTGCCCCTTATGCCCTAGCTCTTCCCTGCATCTGGCCTGGGGTGCAGACAGCCTGCTTGGAGCTGGCCTCTGTACACGCGGTGTCCACAACGCCACCCTCCCGCCCCTGGAGTAGTCTTCTCTAAGCCCTGATTGGAGTACCGTACCCTGTCTGGAGATGGTGCCACCTCCCTCCCCAGGGCCACAATGAGGGTTAAGTGAAGGCCCCGAGAAGCAGAGCCCATGCCTGGTGAGTGCTCAATGAATGTCATTGTTAATATCCACACAGTGCGGGCACATGGCGGGCGTTTGGTCAAGGTAGCCCTTGTGTTACAGACAACGCTCTAAAAACGCGCGTCTCCCCTCCTCCCTCCTCCGACTCCTAGTGGTCCACAAATGTGGCTCAGGTTTCCCCCTCCAGCATCTTCCCCCAGCAGCATGGCCCACCCCATGTCCCAGCCCCCTCTCTGCCCACCTGCAGCCCAGGTGCCAGCCACTTTGCTTATTTACTTCCTCAGCAGGCTCCCACTCTGCCCAGAGCTGCCAGCCAGCTAGCCTGGTGGGCCTGGCAGCTCGGGCTCGACCACCAAGGTTTTTCCCCTCCCCACCAGGCAGTGGGCCCCGCTCCGCTCCCCCTGGCACCTCTGGTTCTAGCCCAGAGGAAGCTAGGCTGGCACCTGGTCATGTGGCCTGCCCTCTTGTAGGCTGCAGACTCCACCAGGTGGGGGAACTGGTCTCATTGTCTCTGTCGCCAGCGCCCACTGGGCACGGAGTCCAGCTCGTGGCAGGTGGCAGCGAACGCCAGTCCCAGCCTGCTGCCCATGCATTGCTGGCTCAGGCGGCAGGCGTTGCATGCATGAGGGACCCAAGGGACTGCGGGCAGCTGAGCACGAGGTTTATACAAGAACCCAGGGTGGCAGCTGGACCGAGTGTCTGGAGCTGGGGCAGCAGCCAACCTGAGTTGGGGTCAGGGTCCCGGGCCCCTTCACTCCCCTGGAGGCACAGTATAGGCGGCTTGAGGGGGACGCCCCAGGAAGGGCTAGGCAAACCGGGCCACTCTTCATCCATCGTTTCAGGCCGGAGCTGGTGCAGTCTGCCTGGGACCAGGATCTCGGGATCCCATCCAGGGGGAGGGACGCAGCCCACCTACCAGGCTGGGACCACCACATCCATCTGGGACATCTGTCAGCCGGTGGGCTGGGTCCCACGTACAGAGCTCCTCTGGGCTGCGGGGAGTAGGTGCCTTGGGTGGGCAGCAGGCGCGGCAGCAGGGGGGCCTAGTCCAGCGGCCCCTGGAAGATGAGGCGCACACAGCCATGCTCACCGGTCAGCCAGGCCCCACAGAAGGGGCAGGCGGCGTGGAACGCGTGGGTGCCGTGGGGCAGTGGGGTCTGGGCCCAGTAGCGGGCGGTCTTCTCGGAGCAGACGTGGCCGCAGGGCGCAAAGGCATGGCTGGGTGGCCCGGGGTCCAGGCAGAGGCCGGCCTCCTGGCCCAGCCACAGCGGCACGTAGGGCCCCACGAGGCGGCAGAGTGGACACTCGCGGGCCTGTGGGCCCCGCCCCCGCCGGCAGCCCCAGCCATGGTAGCCGTGGACGTGGCCGCAGCGGACGTAGACCCAGGGCTGCTGCTTGTCAGGGGCTGTGCGGCCTCGGGCGGGGCTGGGGAAGGCCAGGGTGCTGAGCCCCACGGGGCACTGGGGCCGCGCGGCATTGGCCTCCTGCCGCTGGGCCTCCAGCTGCTTCAGCGTCGGTGCCCGCAGCAGCCCGGCCGGCGTGCGCCACAGCAGCGTGGCCCCACACAGGTCGATGAGGGAGCCATCCTGCAGCACGTTGGATTCGTTTTCCACCTGCCAGGGCGGCAAAAAGCCTTACTGTCTGCAGGTGGGCAGCCTGCACCCACATGAGCTTCCTGGCCCAGCCCGGGAACCACCCTGGAGATAGTCCCCTGGCAGGCGGACTGGCACAGAGGAGGCTGGGCAGTCCCATAGGATAGTGGCCAGGTGCCACCACTGACCCTGACACCACCCCTCCCTCTCCACCCACTCTCAGCCAGACACCGGCCTGAGATTCCACATCTGGCAATTGAATCAGAGGTTGGTGGCTCAGCAGATGTGCTAGAACATTTCTTCCGCGTTCCACAGATGGCAGAAGTGGGAATTCTCCACCCAGACCGCTGGGGTCTTTGCCCAAAAGCTGGGCCGAGGTGTGCGTGTGTATGTATGTATGCGTGTGTGTGCATGCGCACACACGCAAAAGCAAGCACTGGAGTTAGTGCCAGAATCCTGGGCCGTGGTGCTCACTGACTCCATGTGACCACCTTCCGTGTCTTCCTTGCCTCACCCTCCAGATGGAGGCCACGTCCCGGCCCTTCTGGTGCTTCTCAGGAAGATGAAATGAATTACTTAATGTCCACACAGGGCACTTTGTGAACACACAATAGGCACTTGGCAAACGTAAGCTAGTGATGACCAGCTGAGCCCTAAATTTGCATGATTTAACCGTGATGTTTCCCCAGCCCCCTTCCTTCAGGCGAACTGATAGGCCAGGAGGCCAGCCCTGTTACTCCCAGAGACTTGGTGTCCCCATGCCAGGAAGAACTCTGTCATGAGGCCCATTTGAGAACATGACCTTGGACCAGCCTCTGGCCCTCTCTAGAACTCCCTGCTAGCTCCTAACTCAATTCCTTGGTTTGTACCACACGGCGCACCCGACGCCATCTGTGCCAATGGCTCTCTCCCGCTGGCAGAGGAGAATAAAGAGAAATCGTCCGGATGTGGCAGACGCGCTACAACTGCTCACACTCTGGGCCACAAGCTGCTCACATCCAAGCCAGGTGTCACCCTTAGAAGAGGATGTGATGTTTCTCACGGCCAGCATCCTCAAAGTCTCTTGGTACCTCAAGGTGTGACTGCGTGTGCCTCCCCTTATCTCGGCCAGGGCTCTAGTAGCAAGGGCCACATGCAGGGACACCATCTTTGACGAGTGGCACATGCCAAGAACTCCTGAACGACCTTGGACAAGAGGGCTGGGGACCCTTCCCTGGCTAGGGCAGGCCACGTGGGGCCGGGAAACCTGGAAGGGGTAGGGAGGGCTCCGACCAGAAGTCTCTGGGCCAGGCCACCTACCAGCTTCCCCCGCTGCTGGGCCGAGCGGCTGTCCCGAAGCGTGTACACGTTACCGCAGACCGAGATCTCCCGCCAGACCCCCGGGGCCGAGTCCTCGGAGAAGCCACCGGCCGGGTGCATCACCAGGACCCCATTAGTGGTCAGGCCGTCCATCAGGCCGTCGGGTGTCCGCCACTTGGCTGCCCGCTCCTGGGACCACCAAAAGAAAACACAACAACCCGCACTTGGGACTGGAACTGCACGGTGCACGGTTTTCTTGGCTGTAGTCTGTATGGAAGGGGATGGCCAGGCCTTCCTTCCTCAGTGCTGTGAGGGCAGCTGGCTCACAGCCTCAATCTTTGAGCCCTCCCCAGGGACCACGTGGGAGGTTAAATCACATAGCCCTGGTGGACGGCCCCCAGAGGGCTGCTTGTCTTTCTTCAGGGACCCGCTACACTGCACCCTCAGGTCAGAGGTGGCCCAGAGAGTCCTGGAGTTGGCACTGCATGGCCTCACTTTGCTCATCTGTTAAGTGGGGCTGCTCATCTTTGCACAAGTCCTGATTTTGATCCTGCACATCCCCCCTCCCCCGATGCCCCCACCAACCCATCCCTGCCCCTGCCGAGGGCTCACTCACTCCAAGAAAGATGTTGCTGGAAGCATCGAAGCCAGCGGCATAGATACGGGCAGTGTAGGGCGGTCGGCGGTCACAGAGGATGCGGCAGGCATAACGGGAGATGGTGCTCTGGGCGGAGGGGCCCTCACCGGCCCCACCTCCGGGGGACGTGTCTGTCACCACAAAGTCAATCATATTCTCAGTGGAGCGGCCAATCTGTGAGGGGCAGGCAGGCACAGGGATCAGAGACTCAGCTAAGGCCCCAGAGCTTCACACCTGGGGTCCCCCATCGCTGCTCCACCGCCTTTGATGAGGCTGCCAGCAGGGGGCAACACCACTCCGCCTCCCAGGCCCTCTGAGCTCCCAGTGGGGATCCTAGATCTCCCTCAAGGCTCCCTCAAGGCTCGCTCAGGAACAAGTCAGAGGGGGCGGCCTTCCTCAGCAACAACCAGTCCAATGCTGTTAAAACGGAGAATGGGCAAGAGGCAAGATCCGTGGCTTGGAAGTGTTCAAATATTTGCAGCGAATAGTGAGTTTTTTTTGTTGCAATTCTTTATTGTACACCAGGAGCGCAGGCAATGTTGTGGTTATGTGTTGGGCTGCAATTAAAAAAGCCAGCAGTTTGAAATCACTAGCTGCTCCATAAGAGAAAGACGGGGCTTTCTACCCCCATTAGGTTACACCCAGAAACTCTCAGGGGCAGGTCTAGACTGTCCTATAGGGTCACTGTGAGTCGGCCTCAACTCATGGGCACGGAGTTTGGCTTTGAGTTATTATTATACGACAGGTGGTGTTGCCGGATGAGCACGGGCCTGCTTACCGCGAGGTTGGTGGTTCAAGCCCACCGGCACCCAGTGGGAGGAAAGATGAGGCTGCCTGTTTCTGTAAAACCCTATACAGCAGCGGTTCTCAACCTGAGAGTTGCGACCCTTTGGGGGGTCGAACAACCCTTTCACAGGGGTCGCCAAAAACTGTCGGAAAACATATTTCTGATGGCTGGGGGTCACCACAACATGAGGAACTGTATTAAGGGTCTTGGCACTAGGAAGGTTGAGAACCACTGCTAAGTAGGACCACGATGAGTCAAAATTGACTTAATGGCAGTGGGTTGGGTACTTTATTAAGTGTTTTTATTTTGATTTTTAAAACTTTGTTTTCGTGTTAAAGGCGTTATGTGCCATCACTCATGTAACCTTCCCCACAATTTCAAAGGGTGGGAACTATGATTAGCCCCATTGGACAGATGAGGAAACTGAGGGCTGGAGAGGTTAGTAACTCCTGCTCCAAATCACCCAGCGAGTGAGGGCTGGAGCTAGGCTCGGAAGCCAGGCAGGGTGGCTGGACAATCTGCCCTCAGACCCACGGGGCTGGGTGTCTTCCTACAGTCTGGGAGTCCGGCCTGAAGTCGAGTCTTGATATAATCACCGGCTGGGGGACGAATCGGACAGGGTCACCTGGAGAGTCGCTGGCTGTGCTTCAGCTTCCAGCAGCCCTTTCCGTGAGGCCTTTGGTCCTCCAGCTCTGTCCAAACCCCCAGTCCAGGGGCTGGGAGGGGCCAGGGCGTACCTGGAACATGTCTGTGTCGCTGTCCTGCGTATACTCCACTATGACAGAGTGGCTCCGGGAAAGGGTGTACGAGATGCTGTGCTGGCCGCGGTTACTCAGGGCCTGGTGGGGAGAAAGGAGACATGGCTTTGTGGGACGTGTGGCTATGAGAAGGGTCCACCCCTGAGCCAGAAGCCAGGCCCCAGGGGTGTCCTGTGCAGCAGGTGTTTTACCCGGTGCCCTGGTTTCATCCCTTCAGCTGCCCCTTGGTGCAAACATGGTTCATGCAGCTCTCTGAACTGCAGTTCAGAGAGGAGAAGCAGCTGGCCAAGGGCCACACAGCGGAGCTGGGCTTTGAACCCAGATCCTCTGAGACCAAAGGCGTTCTCTTTTGTCACTGCTGTGTGATGGTCACGTCCCCTCCCTGAGCCTCGGCTGCCTGAACAATGATACTGATGGCTTCTGCCCAGTGGCTGGTGGCCAAGAGGCTGCAGGCAGGCAAGGTCGGGGGAGGGAGGAAAAGCGCATCGCACACTGTAAAGGCCGGTGATCTCGCCTGCCTCGAAGGGCTGTGGGCAGGGCTGAGGAGCCGGGTCTGAGCAGGGAGGCCGGGGCAGGTGCCAGGTCTGCTGCCTTGCCTTGGACACGAGCGGTGTGGAGATGTGGTGCATGACGTCCGGCTTCACCCCATTGGCATGCGGCCGGCGGCTCAGCGCCAGGCGACTCCGCCGGCGGCCCTTGTCCCCACTTGCCAGGCACCCGTTGTAGCTGTGGAGGAGGTGGTGGGGGAAGAAGAAAGGGTTGGGGGGTAGGGGGAGAAAAAGAGAACAAGTGAGTCTTGGAGGAAACGGGCAACTTCCGAGCTGCTCCTGCCCTAAAAAACAAGCCCTAGAACCACCCTCCAGTACTGCCTCATCCACCAACTCACCGGTACACGGTACACCTGCATACCGGCAAAAGGCTTTACCAGTTAACCCAGTGTTGCCTGGATGCCCGTCCGGGGGCTGAGCCTTGGGGAGGCAGGGGATGCCGCTCCTTGGGCTTGTTCTATGGCCTGGGGGACACAGCTTTCCAAGGAGTCCTAACTTTCCAAGGAGCCAGGGTAACCACCTGCATGGCCCAGGCACAACCCAACTGCCTGTAGCCCCACAGCAGGAACCAGGGTTTCTGGCCCCAAATCAAGTTTTGAAGAAGTGATGGGTGGGGGGAACACTTTGCCCGGGTGTTGAAGGACTGGGAAGAATTCATCTTTGGGGAACTCATTTACTGCCTCGGATGCACCAGTGAAACCGAGGGGGACACCTGCAGCGCCCCCACCTCCATCTCTGTCAAACCTTCCTTCTGAACTCTCAACCGGAGGGAAGGAGTAGGAGAGGCCAGGTGGGCCAGAGCCCAGACGACCCGCCGCCAAGCAGGCAGGCCTGTGGGTTCCTGGGGTGTCGTGTGACCAATGACATCGTGGAATCTGTGCAGCGCCCTGCCAGGTCAGTGGCTTTCTTCCCATTTCACCACGGAGGACAATTGAGGCTTAGGAAGGTCGCCTGACGACTGAGGTCTGAGGGTGGTAAGGGACACGGTCCCTCTGGGAGGAGGGCTCCACTCGGGGCCAAGGGCCCCAGGCTGCTTGGGTTCAGTGAGCTCAAGGGATGGGGTGGGGAAGTGTAGTGGTGGTGGTGGGGCAGGCGAGGCCTCGGAGGTTGGGGGAAGGGCCCAAGTCACCAGGCTAAGGACTCTGGGCTTTATTCCCCGAGAAGCACTAGGGAGCCACATGGGAGACGGGAGTGGCAGGGTGAACAGGTGCCAGACACAGATGACTGCTTGAGTCACAAACACCCAAGGGAGCTTGGCAAAATACAGGTTCCCTGGCCCCGCCCACAGGGAGTCTGGTTCTGTAGGATTGGTGTGGGCCAGGCGGTGTGAATTACGGAGCTAGGGTGCAGGTCTGCTGCCCCACAGAGGCCAAACATCTGCCAAGAAGGCCTGGACCCTCAGATCTGAGGTCAGACCCACAGTGGCCTCACGCTGGTCTGGTCTCTGAGAGGGGCGTCACTTCTGCCCTGTGGGTAGTTTCACCCGGGAAGTAGTTCGACCTTGAGATGGGTCAGTTGAGGGGATGGCTTGGGACTTGGCCTTTGGCTTAAATCCTGACTCTTGCACTCTGTCAAGCGGGGCCAATGAGCAGGACCTGCCCCTTAAGGTCATGGTAAGAAGGGAAGAGAGAGCATTTTCAAATGCCTGGCAGAATGTGGCACACACAGTAAGCCCCGGAGAGATGTTCGTTAATGTTATCAGAGTAAAAGCACGTGGCGGTGTCTACGGGTGGCTGTTTGGGTGGTCTCCAACTCGCAGGACGGAGGAAGACTACTCCCCAAAGGTCAAGGCTTTCTGTGACTTTTTTGGGAGTAGATCACCAGGTCTTTGCCCCTCAGGAGTGGCTGCTGGGTTCAACCTTCCGCTCAGCAGCCAACTGCGCTGCCAGGGTTCCTCCCAGAGAGAGGAAACCCAAAACACCTCGCCCACGACTGTCTGTCCATCAGGTCGATCTGACCCCAAGTGACCCCAGAAGCCAGCAGATTGCCACATTGAGGTGTCCAAAGTGACGGCTTTATGGTGGCCGCCTGCCACATCTGTCTCTGGCAAAGTGGCTGGTGGGTTTGGGCCATCGGATATCAGCATTTAGCATTGCACCATAGCGGTCAACAAGCAGTAGCCATTAGCATTTCTCCACACTCATCCCACACAGCTAGTTCATCAGTGATTCTATTGGGCAGAACCTACGGCAGGGGGTGTGGCCTACGGGTAGGGAAGGGACATGAGGGGTGTGGTTCAGGGGTCCTTGGGGGTAGGGTGGGGGGCAGCAAGGGTCAGGCAGAGACTGGGGAGGGAGGAGGTCTGTCCAGTCACCAACTCGTGGTCTTCACTCTCCTGGCCTGTTTCCTCACCTGTATCGTGTGTGTGTGTGTGTGTGTGTGTGTGTGTGTGTGTGTGTGTGTGTGTTGGGCGGTGGGCAGTTGGCCAGCTGCGGCTTTAGTGTAAAGTGCATTAGACCTAGAGTTGAGAGAGACCCGGGTCTGGATGCAGCCCTGCCACTTACCAGCTGTGTGCCCTCGGGCCAGTCACTTCCCCTCTCTGAGCCTCGGTTTCCTCACCTCCTTCCTCACAGCATCTTTGTGAAGATTGAAATGAAATAATGTTCAAGAAAGGGCGCGGCACAGGCCCGCCTCACAGAACCCTGGGTATGTGCCAGGCACTGCCCTGAGAACTCTCCAGAAATCACTTCCTTCCTTCCAATAACCCTGGAGCCCTCTGAGGTAGTGATTATCATTAACATCATCCCCTACTGGCCAATCGGGGAAACTGAGGCACAGGGAAGTTCAGCAACTTGCAGAGGCGCAGGGTTTGATCGAGCGGTTTTGCTGGGGAACCAGAATGTGTCACCCCCCCACTCACACACACTGCACACAGTAGGCGCTTTAGGAAAGGAAGCTGGTGTGGTGGCATCCCCCTCCTCCTTTCCTCAGCTGATCAGATGCCCAGGTGGGCAACCATTAACTCAGTAATTGATGAGAGATGGGGAGGCAAAATAACCATTGTGACTCGGGGCAGGTTGGGTCTACTGGATGGCTTGATCGGATCAGATGTGGTGTGGGGGGGCCCAGCAGCAGAGGGGCACTAAGTGGGAAGCCTGGGGTCCTTTCGGCTGCCCTGGGGTGCCTGCCGACCCACCCTGCCTGGCCCAGGGGCACTCACCCCAGGACGATGAGTTCACCATATTTGAGGGGCTCCTCCCCTGGCTGGGCATCTTCTACTGGAGACGAGAGGACACAGCAGCTCTTGCTCCCAGGGTGCCGGAGGCCTGAGGTCCGGGGGGACCCCACTTCAGGGTTTCCTTCCAGTACCATCTAGGCAGGGTGGGAGAGGAGGAAGAGAGTTTTGCGGACTTCCACCCTCACCCCCAAACCAATTACTGACCAGTCCATTTCAATCCCAAGCAACACCGCAGGGCAGACTAGAACTGCCCCTGGGGATTCCAAGGCTCTCACTCTTCACTAGGGAAGCAGACAGCCTCATCTTTCTCCCACG